TTTCTTTCCAGGGGAATGGCTGTGGGACAGCATCTTGAGAATGGGCATCGGAACAGTCTGTCAAAGAGCAGTGTTGAAATACAGTATACCTTCAAGCAATGTGAGCTCTTTAGCATTTGTGGGCAAAAAGATGACCTTAAATTGTGAATACTAGCAGGCAACAGACAACTGGGTGTATATGTGTGGGGGTGAGTATGTCAACTTCTGAGCTCTCAAGGACGGCAAGCCTTCTACTTGCTGGCTGCTGCCAATACAGTCTGGTGGTAAATTTAGTAATGCCTGGACTGAACCAAAGTTATGCTGTGAATTATCCAATTAAGAAACATGAGACAGAAGCACTGATTAGGTGGCTGGTCGTGCCTTGTACTTATGCACATAGACTATTTTGATTGGGACTTGGGGTGTTCTGGACAGTAGATGTGGTGCCAAAAAGGATTTTGGAAGTGGCCTTAGAAGGAAGGGAAGCCTGAAAAGAAAGGACAAGATCCTGGAGATGAGGAAGATGCGTGGAGAAGAACACCAGGGGATGCCCAGGGACCATGACTGATAGTGCCTCGGGCTGGTAACTGTGAGCAGCTGTATAGCATGAAGGGACGTGGTTTTCTACCTGACCGTCGCACACTAGCAGCAAGCTGCCCTGCTGGGAAGGGAGTTGAGACCCTAGCAAATGTAATGGCTGGGGGGAGTGAGTGGATGCGTTTGTGAAATAACCAACTGGAATAAAAGCTCTAATCCTGGTGGTTTGTAAATAAACCCCAGTATTCAGACCCAGTACAGGTTGTTGTTCACTTTTGATTCACGTGTAACAGAAAACGATGTCAGGATGACAATACTGACCATTTACCGAACCTCAGATTCGCATCCAGAAGACTATTGCAGCTGACCTTTCCCAAAATCATCTTCAGATAGCTTTAGGCTTTCTTTTCAACTGGGATATTAACCTATTGTATTAAATTTAGTTTGTTTTTTTTTTTTTTTTACTTCCAACAGACCGCATAAGGTTCAGTCCTGGAGGTGCCTTGCCTATTTTGGATGACAGAAGTCCTTCGTTTGTTCTTGGCAACAGGAGATCACTTAAAGAAACCTATGGACGGCTTGTTGTCTGCAAGAGATCTGTTGGGCAAAATGTTTTTAACTTTTTAACCAAGGATTATTACTAGAAGAACAGCCATATATTTCTCTTATAATTTGTTAAAGTAATGGTCACAGACTACAGTTGTGTTTCAGTGAAAGGATGATAGGGATGCATCTTGTAGAACATCTTTGTACCTGAACCATGCAAAATTGCTGCCTAAAGCTCTGGTCGCGTTTCTTCTCAGTGTTATGCTACTGCAAAAGTTTTGGGACAGAATGTTGCCTATGGGAGAGCAGTCTCAAATCAATTAGGGATTCTTCAACCACTTGCTCTTTTAATAAGCCTTTTTTTTTATTGAGGGATTGTTGCATGAACATAAAATTATGAATGGAGGGATTTTTTTTTTTTCTTTAGGGAATAGTCCATATGCATGCTCATACTGTTGATATATGTGTTTTTATGCTTGAGATCAGGAAAATTTTCTGCCGTGGTATTGCTAATGGCCTTTGTGCCGCTGCCTCTCATGCTAGGATTGTGGGTGCAAATGGCATCTCGTCCAACCCCAGCTACCTTGCCCTTACCCACCGATGTGACATGGTTTTCTGCTGTGAATCCTTAGCTGTGCAGCAAGCTGTTTCCTGCTTGAGTAACTTAGGAGAGTTGAACAGTAGGTTGATTTACTGTCTTACTAAAAAATGGGTTCCAAATAAATGCTTCACTAACTCGTTTTTAAACCTAAACCAAGCAGGATTTAGGAGCTCCTATTACAGGATTTTCTGTGTGAGAGGATGAAAGCGGTGTTTAAACTGGAAGTCCATAACCTCTGTGCTAAAATTACCACTTTCTATCAGTGAAAACTTTGGCATTGATCCTTTTGGGGATGTTCTGTTGAGAAAATCTTTGCAAGAAGATTCCTTGCTTCTCCTTTCCAGAGAGGAAAAGCTGATATGCCACATTCACCCCTTTGGGATTACTGTTGGATGCATCTGGCTAATTTGAGGAGCCAAGACAAGTAGGTGAAATCTCACCCTCGTCAAGAGTTGCTTGTCCAGGTGATAACAGACAACTTGAGTACCACTTACCGTATAATTATGGGTGAGATCACCAAATCATCTCTGTTCTCTCAGGGAAATTTCTTAGGAGACTGAGGAACAGAGAATAAGGTTTATCTACTAGTCATTCATATACATGTGTGCAGTCTTATGTGGATGAACAAAGCAGAGTTGCAGTTGTCAGCTGCAAGTGCAAGGTTTGCGCTGCTGTCCTTACGAGGACCTCGGAGGGAGCAAAGTCAGCCCCGTAGGTCTGTGTGCCCCTCAGATTAAGAGGAAATGCTGCCACTTCTGCTCAAGAGCAGGTCTGTGCAACAAGCTTTCTGACTAGTTCCCGATACAACAGTTGAACAAAATGACTTGCCGCTTCCTCCTGCTCCTCTGTGAAAAAGGAGCGGTCAAGGAATGTAAGGTTATGCGAGTTACATGCACCGTGTGGATGTGAGTGGTAGAAATCATGAGTGGTTAAGCACTGAATACAAATGCTCTAGGGTGGTTGTGGGATTTCCATCTTCTGAAATTTTCAAACCCTGTCTGGACAAGGCTCCAAGCAACCCAATCTAACTTCAAAGTCAGTCCTGCTGGACCAGGAGGTTGGGCCACATGACCTCTGTAGGGCTCTTCCTAATCTAATTTTTTCTATGATATAAAAAAAAAAAAAGTTTTTTTTATTTTTCTTTATCTCTGTTGGGTTTATGAAGTATTTTGATGGGGGCAGAAGTTGGGCAGGAATTGTTCATTTTTTTTTTGCTTTGTCCTGCACTTGATAAAATACATCTGCAAATTCTAGGACCAACAGGTCAAAACAGGTAAGAACACACTGACTTCAGAAGTTAATAATCCCTGGAAATGCATAGTCCCCAAATATATGTTACTGATCAAGAAGTAAATCAATAAATCTTCCTGACTAAAATGCATTTTTGGTTGTATCTTCTCTGTATTATTATTGATAAACATATATTTTGTCTCTTCTGATTTCAGTCAACTTGCATTTGCAATGGTAACACAACACAGATTTGCAGGAGTAGTGCTTTGTGTAGGACATCAGCAAAATACTCCAAAATGCTAAAAGTCCTTCACTTTTTCTTCCTGATGAGAGTTGCATAGATTCATCATGGAAACTTTGATGAATAAAATCTGCTTGTTTGCATTTATTCTGCAGTATCGGAGTAGGTAGATTGCTTACGCTAGTACTGCCTGAAAGGTAGAAAAACAGCACTGATGGAGCTGAAAGCATCATTGTCCTGATCCAATGTCGGGGGAGGTTTCTATACGATCCCAAGGACGAGATTAAGACGCAAACGAGGTCAAATGCCATACAACCTTTTGACTTTATTTTGGTGAACGAAGGGGTGAGGACTGGGTAGGAAGACGGGGAAAAGAAAGAGAGAAAAGGAGAGAAAAAAGAGAGAAACAAAGAGCGTGCTCAGGCGGGT